GGTGCACCGATTTCAATTTTTTTGGCCGATCGCCGATCTCTAAAAAGACTGATCTGCCGATTCCGATTTTGGCCGATACAGATTTAGTTTTATAAGCACACAGTCAGGTGTTATAAAGTCACAATGCACCTTCAATTTTCAATCTTATTTTATTGAAAAACATACCCTTGAACAATATCATAGAAACAATACAAACTTGTTTTAACTGGCCATGATGCAGTGCTCTGAAATGTAAATGACGTTTAGGCAATTGTTTTTAAAACTACAAAAAAAAATCGGTAAAATCGGTTTCTCATGTAAGTATCGACTGATTTCTGATCTCCCAAAATTAAGGAAATCGGGGCTGCTAAATCGGCTGTGCACCCCTATTCTAAACTCTCTAAACTCTCTAAAAGAGCACAGCAAAAGAGAGCAGACAGACTGATGCTACGCCGGTTACTGAATTTCCCGTGAAATTTCCCGTGAAATGTCCAGGTTCGGGAAATGTCCCGGCTCGGTTTGGGTCAGGTCGGCTCGGTTCAGGTTAAGGCTCGGTTTGGGTTGCGCTTGGTTATTTTAAATAAACAATCCATGTCGTTCACTCTGGTATCTGCCTCACTGAAGCTCGCAGACAGACCCCATCCTGTCCTTTCTCTTTCTGAGGCTGCTAGCCTCAGAAAGAGAAAGGAGGGAGGGGGGCTTGGTGATCACTGAGCGGCCAGACCACTGGGAAATAATGTAAACAATCCAACAATGTTCAGTCAGGTCATCTGGACAGTTCCTTTTTTTGTTGAAAGATGTTTCACCCTCCATCCGAAAGACGGATGGTAGATTAATGTGTACAATTGATTGATAAGATTAATGTGTACAATCTTACGTTGAAAACCCGTGAAAGAGCGAGTCCACGAAAGTTGAACCGCGACGTATCGAGGGACTACTGTAAACTGAACCAGAATATGTCCAGATCTTAAGGGAAGAGGGTCTTATATGTAATTCCATGTGCTTTTTTCATCTTGATGTTAGGTCAAGAATTTTGAACGCACCTCATGGTACAGGTTATTAGGGTATCCAGTATGAGCTACAAAAACAGGCAGTTGTGGTGAAATTATATGGTTTTGGTGGCTGGTAGAACAAAAACTGCCACATACTAAAACTGTGACACTTTACAGACGAAACCAGCGAATAAAAACAAAATCACCCACATTTCACGCCAGTTTCAAACTAAAATAATCTTATTTTAAAAAATCATGGAACTATAGCTCCGACTTCCTGTGAGTTTCATTTAAATCTGTTCAGTAGTTCATGAGATATTTTGCTAACACCACAAACAAACTCTCACAGACAGGTAAAAACATTACCGTATTTTTTGGACTATAAGGCACACCGGATTATAAGGCACAATAAGCGAAAAAAGTTCATTTCGACAGATTTTTGAGCACCGTAGACCACATAAAATTGGTTAATACATAAGGCATCCTGGATTATAAAGCTCACTGTCAATTTTTGAGAAAATTAAAGGATTTTAAGTGCACCTTATAGTCGGAAAAATAAAAACTGCACACAATTTGGCTCTCAGCGTTGGGCAATAATAATAAAAAAAAAAGGTCAAACAAAAAGAAAAATACTGCAATCAAAAACCAAATTAAAAAAGCAACACAAAAATCAGGGATCAGCCCGGCTGCTAAACCTAACTCCTACTAAATAATTTAGTTAAAACCATTTAATTAAACCATGTCTCAAAGTATATTTATTAACAAGTTGCATATTTAATACATTTCTCTGTAAAAATTAAAACTATAGCAGTTTTACTTTTTATCAATCTGGGAATTTTCTGTTTTTATGAAACAGTCTTACGGCAAATTTTGTGATCAGCTATGAAAATGTACTGCTTTTCCAATATTTTACAGGCAAGTATAAAAAAAAAAAACATGCATTAGTTAGAAAAATCAACAAATTAGATAGAAAACCAGCTGCCCCCTTCAAAATGTCACCACTAATTTTTGTACAGTAGATAAAGTCAATGAAATCCTTTTTTCCCTCCTAAACTATTTCCATACAAAACGCATTTTCTTGCAATCACGAGCAGTGAATGTTCCCACCGATTTGAAATGTTCAGTATTGAACAGTATCCTTTAAAATAGGTCAGCCAGACGCTTCGTGAGCCCATTACAGCCCAGACAGTTCATTTCAGAGTCGGGTGCACAACCTCATTATCTGCATCAGAAATGAGAGCAATATGCAACAAAATATATATATAAATCAGAAAAGATACTACAGTTAGGACACGGGAAGGCTTTAGATAAAACAACAGCGATTAAAACTAGATCTTTGGCCGTAAAAGTGGTGGTCACCATGTGAAATGAGGTGTCAAACTTCACAGTTAGAGACACAAATATGTAAACTATAATGATGAAAATGATGAAGGTAAAAAATGTGTAAAAAATGTGGTTTCAGGTTAGGCCTGTCATGATATCAAGTTTTGCTGGGCGATTAATTGTCTCAGAAATTATTGCGATAAACGATAAAATTGTTTGAAATTTGACACTAATTAGTAATTAGTGTCAAATTTAAGAAGAAATGTTGGTTAATTTGTTTTGAATGTAGTACCTTTTTTGACCACCGGATGGCAGTATAAGACTGTTTGAACAGAAGGATGGATAGTGAGGGAGCGAGCAGCGTGTCTCTTTAAGAAAAATGGGAGGGAGGCCCCTTGACGTGACATGGGCTGTTTCTCCTTCCTCTTTTTTGGTTCTCAAAATGGAGGACGCTTGGTGTGGTTTGAGCTCTTTAGCATAGCATTTGTCACACAAAGCTTTTAATAAAAATAAAAATAAAAATCAGTAAACAAGTTCTCAGCTTCTTTTTGCAGAGAAAAACAACTTTTTACACAAAGGCACGGGTTTCGACTGAATTTTGGAGCGTCAACAAAACGGAGGTATTTTCCCCGAGGTCAGCCTGTTAGCTTAGCTCGTAGCTTAGCTTCTCAGCTTAGCTGCTTTTAATGATCCAACAATGTGATTTTGGACGGTTAAAATGGATTTTAAAGAAAAAAGAGAAAGGGAGGGGTCATTGAAGAGCACCGGAGTTGAGCGGTCATCCAGTGTCTTCAGTAGAAAGAGAGACACGAAGAAACGATAAAGCCGATAAATTAAAATGAGGTCAATAATTTTCATTTATCATGCGATTAACTGATTTATTATTTATCGCGACAGGCCTAGTTGTAACAACAATTTGAGCAACAGAACCTTTTCCATGTTTATGAATAACATACAGTCTAAGATCACTCTGTTATTGTATGGTGTACCTCAGGGTTCAGTCTTAGGTCCTATTTGGTTCCTTTTATACATCAGCCACCTTGGAAAGATGATCAGTAACTTTAATAATGTGTCTTACCATTTGTATGCTGATGACATTCAACTGTACTGTTCCTTCTATGATTCAGAATTACACAAGTTAGCTGATTGTGTTTCCCGTATTAAGGCCTGGCTAGCTAACAACTGCAAGTGCTTTATTGTGCGTTTATAAAAAAAAAGCCAAAAGGGTGACTAAGTGCTCAAGAAACAAAGCTAAAATGTGTTAGGTCGGCCTCGCCTCTCTTCAAACCAGCCGGAAAAACAACTTCACCAAACTTGAGAGGAACTCTGGAGGCGAAACACCGAGTGAACCTGATGAGTGTCTGATACTAAATTTCAAACACAACTGAACAGTGACAGCGTGTCTCCCTAAAAGTTGAGCGTTCAGCAGACTGTAAAAGGAGCTGATCCTCTGCTCCTTTATCAGACCCCAGAAGCTGTGCCGGCACATTGCATACTAATGAGAATGAGCTGTTCTCCTTCATTTTATCCTGAGAGGAGTATCTGTGCCAGCAGCTGGGTTAGGGACGACTGCAGCTTAAACTGGGCTATTTTTGTCCTTTTTTTTTCCTCTAATGGAGCTCTTCTATACAACCCCGAAGACAGAAACGCACCTTCCAGTTTCAACTCATTTTAAAGCAATTCCATCTTAAAAACCATGAAACAAGCGGGTTGTTTAATTTAATCTTAGCTTAAAAGCTGGAAACACCAAAGCAGCTTGCTTGGTTTTCCCAAAATTTGATTAATATCCTACTCCGGCATTGCGTTAGTTTAAGGAGAAAACGCCTCAGTTGCATTTTCACAGATGTTGGAAAAGATGTAGAAAAGGTTTAACCAATCTGGCTGTGGTTTTAACTTGACTCACATTTTAACACGCATAGAAACAAATTTCACCTAAGGCAGAAAGCATTCAAACAAGGGACCCAAGTGATGGAACTAACATATTTTTTTTAACTTGAGGTCAGTAGGTTAACTGGTTAGCTGTGAGAAAATATTAAAATAACCAAACAAACATCTGAGCTCTTATCTAGAAAATAATTAAAAAAAAACTATCCCAATAAAAGTTGGTATGTGATGCTTTGCTTTCCTCTTATGGCTTCTCAGGCCACAGATGATTAAAATGAGCGTAGCTGACTTGAACATAAAAATGAATTTTCCTTTGACTCAGCAGAAGTGGATCTTTTTTTACTCCACATTCCTCTCCTGCTGCTGACTGGGAGCTGCCAGTGAGAACATTCAACTTTCTCTCTGCCTTACTTCCATTATTATTACTACTGAGCGCGCCAGGGAGGGATGGTGCCTAAAGGAGCCAGAAGATGCTCCCTGAGGAGGTGAATCCCGTCCATTACTTCTCAAGTGTCTTGTTTCCCACACCAAGGTTAACAAGCTGGTGTCTGCTGCAGGAGGAGGTGGGAGGCGGAGGAGCTGCAACTAAACATCGTGGTGATGCAGACAGGCAGGGAGAGGGCTGCTAAAGCCCCTCCAATGTCCACATCCCGCTCTCTGCTCATTACGTGCGCAGTGGAATAAAACTACGTTCACCACGAGGTGAAATTATAAACCAGGCTTCCTCTCCCGAACAATGAACCGCAGCGCGCGCGCACTAATCCGGCTGCGACTGAAAAGGGTAAAGCTAATGTTATCACAAGGTAGCACGAGCGTCCGTACCTTTCTCTCCATCACTGCGCGCCTCGCTTTTTAGGGCTCGTGTCTCGTCTGCGTGGAGCTTCTTTTCCCTTCCGCTCCTCTCAACTTCCTCGCGGCTCCTCTCGCGGCAGCGTCTCCCCCTAACACTTCCCCATTACCGCACGGCTACGAGACTTATTAGCGCTGGCCTGCCGAGCCGGGAACGGAGCCAGAGCCGGGATTGGTGAAGCCTCGCTCGGTAGGGGAGCAGGGGCGCAGGCGCGGTCTCTGCTGGAGGACTGGAGACTGGTTAGGGAGTGTCCACAAATTACTTTCCCTGAGAGAGCGTGTCGGAGGGGCTGCTCGCTCATTAATCTGCCCCCTTCTTTTATTAAAGTAGGGTGACATGTTTACCTCAGGTTATATTAGCACCGCAAAAAATGATTTAATTATATAAATGGTTTAAAAACAAAAAGATCTCTGCAACACAAGAGTGCAACCTTAGCACCAAAATCCTACTTTTCATCCCCTTTTCACATTTTTCTCCAGAATATTTAGATAATGGATGGATGGATATTTTGTGGTTTGTGTGAAAGGGTTGTACTTTAGTTGTATGAATGTTTATGAGGCATTCACGCTGTTGTGATCCATTTTTCTTCCGTATGTTTTTCAGCATCTTTCTCGTTCCACAGTTTTTGTGCTATTTCATATCAAAACGTTCAGCTATTTCAGGACAATCCTGCAATGACTTTTGGTACTTCATTTGGTCATTCATTCAACCTTTATTTAGACAGGTAAATCCCATTGAGCCTCGAGGACTCATTTACAAGAGACCTGATTTCAACAAAGAATGATGATAACAATGGACAACAGCGACAACAATAAACGGTTATAAAAAGTCATAGATTTTTTTTTTAACAAATAGGATGGCTAAAAAAAAAAAGTAACAAAAAACAGCTAGATCATAAGGCGAATGTAGAAAACTAAAAACAGGAACATGTCTGCATTGGTCCCTGCCAGGAGTCCAACAGATTCTTAAAGCCACTTAGAGAGGCCAAGGTCGAGAGCTTCAGATCTTTAAGTAGTAGTAAGTAATAGTAATAATAATAAGTAATAGTAAGAATCCCTTGATGCATGTGTCAAACTCAAGGCTCAGGGGCCAAATGTGGCCTCGTCGACATCTTATCTGCCCCCCAAGATGATATTTTAAATGTAAAATACTTTTATCACTTATCTTTTCAGTAATCTTTCATTATGTCAAAAATGCAACAGAGAACGTCAAATGAGACCAATCAAACTTTTGTTGAGGAATCTGCAACCAAGATGTTGGGTACTTAACTTGAGCTAATGTAGATTCTGAAAATGGCCTTTAATTTGAGAAAAGGTGTAATTTTGGCCCCCTTTTGTAAGTGAGTTTGACACCCCTGCTTGATGGAAGAATTATGAGTTGGAGCTAAATAGTTATAACAAGAGAAATTGCATTTCCTGCGAAAATGCAGTGTGACTGCTTCTTGCAGATGAACTAGCTGAAAAACAGCTGAAATTAGCTAAAAAAAAATGGTGAAATGTAGCTGAAATAATAGAATACGCCTAAATTAGCAGAAGAAAGCAGAAAGAACACACATTTGCTGAATTAAATTTAAATCAGCAGAAATGAGCACAAAAATAGGATTTCAGCTAAAGAAAAGCTCAAATTAACACACACACACAAATCCATATAAAAAGTAGCCAACAAAGCAGAAAGAAGCTTAACTTATGAGAAGTGAAAAGAGCTGAAATGAGCTAACAACAACAAAAAAAGGAAAATTAGCTGAAAAGGCTAAAATTTGTCTAAAAACAGCTAAATAGTAGCTGAAATAGCAGAAAAAGCTGAAACTAGCTGAAAGGAGCATAAAAAGATGAAATTAGCAGAATGAAGTAAATTATGCTGAAAGTAGCTGGAATTGCCAAGAAACTGTTGAATTTACCTGAACAGCTCAAATTAGCAATTTTCTAATAAGGTAGCTGAAGAGGCAGAACAAGCTTAAATTAGCATCATAAAGCAGAAAGAACATGTTTTCCCAATTAGGCTGAACGAAGCAGAAATTAAAAATAAATTATCTGAAAAAAAGCAGAAATGAGAAAAAAAAAAACAGCTGAAAAGTAGCTAAAAAGCAGAAAGAAGCTGAAATTACAAGAAGGAAGTGGAGAGAGAGCACATTTTTGCTGAATTAGGCTGAAAAAAGTTGGAGTGCAAAAAATGTGGAATTAGCTGAAAAATCCTAAGCATAAAAACAGATATAGTAGAAAATGGTGAAACTTGCAAGTTGCACCAGTACCAAAAGTCATAGGATGGTTCTGAAAGAGCTGAACGTTTTGATACAAGATTAGTTGAAACAGCTTGAAAACTGCGGGACGAGAATCACACCGAAAAACATACGGAAGAAAAATGGATGCTTCATAAGCATTCACACAATAATATATTTGTGTCTGTGTATACCATAGTTAAGCAATAGTAAGGATCAGCCAATGTTTATGGTCTTAAAGTTATTAAACTAATCATTTCTAAAACAGTATGTCAGTATGTGCATTTCTCTTTACAATGTCACCGAACAACTGAATTATTTTTAGTTACTTTCTGCCACAAAAAAAGGGACACATTTAGTTGTAGAAATGAGATTCTATCTTGAAATGATCACATCATCTTAAAATAAATGAAAAACTTTGCTTTCAATTTGTTTTTTTTTTCTGGTTTTTGATCTTGATTCTTGTTTTGGACTCATAATCCAATCACTTGAGATTTACGTAGCTTCCTTTAAAAATTTTAGACTTCAATCGCCACCCATAAACCTTTACAAATACATCCGTCAAAGTGATGCTCATACAGATTTATTGACAGGTCACATCTAAATAAGTGTGGTCCATTTCTTGCTGCAAACGGTTCTTCTTCATCACTTTTTATGAATGTCCAGAAACAAGATTAAGAGTTTATGTCGTCTTCCACCTCTCTCTGACCAGAAAGCTGTTACACAGTTTTATTGTTAAGTATTACTCGTCCTAAAACCGATCAAAACAACTCGAACAATAGGCTGTTAATCATTAAGAGTTTGCGTCCCATCAGACTTTAAACATTAAATAATCACACAAACACATGTGAGTTCCTTGTTGGTTTTATTAGGTTTATTTGCATGTGGACATGTATGTTTAAATAGGATGACTTCACCTGAGCTGACTGAATCAAACCTGCACGTGTCTACTTGTGGGGCGTCTCCTGTTCACACGAGTCCGAGTCAGCATCTTAGCTCTCAAAACCTCACAAGGTCCTAAAAGAAAGTCTGTCCCATTCAGACCTGATCATTTCTGCTTTTACTCAGGAAGTTCTCAGGAAAGTGCAGAGCACTAAGTGGGTCACTGCTGCGTTCGCTCACATGGCTTTCTCTGCGCAGCGCAGCCCACTGGCTCCATCAACACGGGTTTATAACAGGAGGCCTGGCTCAGCACCAGCAGAAAGAACAAAACGTCATTGATGGTTGAAAGTACAGCCCTGAATACTGTTCAGGAACATCATATCAAATATGTCTTCTACCGTTTTTAATCTGAGTCTTATGTTTTTTTTTAAGTTACTCAATAAACATGAACATTTACAGCTCATTAAAGACTTAACTAGAGATTTTCATGGGATTCCTTCTCATATTGTGACAAAAAATAAAATATTCAATCACATTTTTGTAATTTTTTTAACAATTTGATTACAAATCCAAATAAATCAATGCATTTTTGATCAACAGAACAGGTCTAGAATAGTTTTTAGTATTTTTTAGCAGATTTAAACTGAAGTTTATAGACAGCTCTTTCTGTTTTAGTCTCATTTCAGTCCTGAACATCAAAATAATCGATCACAGGATCCTCCTTAACCATCTTTGACCAGGTGCTTCCGCTCGCAGCCCTAAGAGAATGAAAAAGAAAGAATAACAATATTTCACAATGTTCAAACCTCCTTCAAACATATTTAGAACAGTCTAACCACAGAGGAAGACTCACTTGCTGCTGGTCTGTTTGATATGAGCGATGGGAGGCGGCGCCCTCACAGTCGTCTCCCGCTCTATCACTGATGCCAGGGTTGAGTTTGGACAGGAAGACTTCCCCCTGGCAACACAGACACATCCTCAAAACCACAGTCGGCACCGTACAGACGCTCTTATCTCTGGAAACGGTCGTACTTGTGGGCTGTGATGACCACGTTGCGTTTGGGCTCGCTGTCGTAGCTCACGCTCTCCACGCCGTAGACCTCCGCCAGCTCGTGGACGATCTTCCGGTGCTCTCGGTTCATCGGCGGGAAGCAGTGGCTCTTCTTTGGCTGTTTCCCCTGCAGATATACGGTATAATTGGCAAGATAAAAGCCAATGACAAAAAGGCTGGACATTTTTTCCATGTTACATTTTAGCATCTGTGAATAACGATATTTAATCTTTTTAACAGATTATGGTGTATTTGTACTCTTGTGACTATGAACAGACAGGTGTTAAATTGATGCTACAGCAGGTCTATTCAACTGGCAGCCCAGGGGCCAAATCTGTGAGCTCAGTTCAGCTCACCAATGGGTTCATTTTTAAATAAAACTTGACTTTAAACCATAAAACAAAACATATTAATGACAATAACTGCAGGATGTCCGGCCCCTGAGCTCTTGGCTTTCTGTAACTGTGGCCCCCTGAGCACTTTAGTCGAATATCTCTGTGCTACAGAGTCTGTTATGCTGCAACATCTGTATATTATTGATGAAACATAATGTACAGATGGCCTGCCTTCTAAACTCAGGGTCAGCGGGTACGCTTGATGTTTCCGTCTGCAGCAGAATGGAAACAACAGCAGACATGAAACTGTGTCACTCTTCTCGGCTTAAAGTAGCAGAATGAAACGGATTCTGATCAAAGAACATCGTTTGTGTAAAATAAAGAAATGATACAAAAAAAAATAAGACAAGACGGTACGTAGCAAATATTTTCAATAACTATAAGGCAGAACTGCTTTTTGAGAATTAATTGACAGGAGATTTGGGCACAAATCAAATAAAAGTTATCTTGGCAATTTTAGTCCATATATAAAAAAAAAATACTATATTCTTTGAACCAGTGTTCTGTTGTTTGAGTCCAGAGAGGATTTGTTGTTTTGTCGGGAATCTGCAACAGCTAAAATTGGTTAAAACGTGGAGGCTCATGGACGAAAGACCGAGCTCAAATAAAAATGAAACACTCGACGTGAAACGTGAGAAACACTTACAAATGTCAAAGCTGCAGCTATAAACAGCCTAACGGAGTATATTTCGTCCAAATAGACACCGTTTCATGTAAATTTTAGAAAAACAAACGACAACACAAACTTTTTGATATGGCTTAGATACAAATAATTACCTTTAGGCAAAATGCACGTTATTTACACTGCAACAACAAATCTTTATGCTGAAACTAAATTATAGTTCAATTATTTAAACCAGTGGTTCCCAACCATGGTCCTTGAGGAACACCGTTGTGCATGTTGTAGTCGTTTCCCTGCTTTGACACACCTGCTTTGAATGAATGGGTGATTAACAGGTTTCTGAAGAACTCGTGTAAGTAATTAAATGACTGAATGAGGTGTGTTGGAGCAGGGAAACAACTAAACCATGTAGGATGGTGTTCCTCAAGGACCACGGTTGGGATCCACTGGTTTAAACAACATGTTGGTGACTAATTCTCTCAAACAATCAAGTTATTAAAATAAACATACATATGTATATAACATTATATAAACTCTCATAAATGTAGAATTAAGGCAAATGCATTAAAGACATTTAGCCTCAAGTCTTTCCTGTCAATCAAGGGGTTGCTGCAGAATTTTAGTTCTTTGTTGTTTCAGCTAGAAGTTATTATTTTAACAACCAAGTCGGTTTGTGAAGTGCTAAAGTTACCCTATTAATTTGTCACTGCACAAGTTTAGGTCAATATGAAACTTTCAGATTTGTGTTGCCTTAATATTTGTTGCTTAAGAGTGTCACGTCACCAAAGGGCTGACGTTTCCCAACACAAGAGAAAAAGCATTTTCAATAAATTGCATTACCTTATTGGCAAGCTCAACAATATTTTTCATCTCTTCTTCTACATCTGCGACAAACTTCAGGTCTTTTCTGAAAAAATGCAGTAAATTTACAATTTTGCCCACTTGTTTTTATGAGCTCTAAGTTAATCTGAACAATGAAGCTAAGGATAGTAAGACGTTTATAAAAAGAGGAATCGGTATCAAACCTGGCATCTTCTTTGAGGCTGTCGCTGTACACAGAGTTTGTACGAACGTTGAAAGGATCAGAAGAAGAGTCTATCTCCAATGCCTCCGCTAAACGCCGGTTTCTTTCCAAAGTGGCACAATCTTGATCACATTCAAGCCTGAAAACAAATAAACCATATATACTTTTAGGATGAACACAAAAAAATCATTTATTTCTTCTTAAAACAAATATGACAAAAAAAGGGCCCAAACTCAGCTCTGAGAGTCACATTGCAACAATAAAGACTTGATCCAAGTGAGATGTTTCATAGTAAAAAGGAGAAAAGCAACATTTAAATATTTTATTACTAATCACTAATAAGAATAGCCTCCTGGAGTTTATCACGATCGCTGCAAGTGTTGCTTGAATATTCACACAATATTTTCATCAAACATCTAAAAGCCGGATTTTTTTAAACTTTTGCTTAAACTTATAATAACTACATGTTTTTCTCTACCTGGTCTGTTTTAGCTCCTTCTTGGTGAGGAGTGGGCTGATCTCCATAGAGTCACCAAGCTGCATGTCTGACAGTTTACTGGCCATGGCAATGGCTGCATACCTGGAGGCCAAAAGGGATATCTTAACTGAAATGTTTTGGAAATGCCAAACCTGAACATGCGGTGAGCAGAACCCACCTCTGATATGAACTGGCAGCTTCAGCGCAAGCAACTGTTTCCTTTTTTCGACCGCAGCTGCACTGCAGAGCTACCTGTGAACAAAAAACAAAACACAACACAAACTGGTGAGAGATCCTATCCTTTGGCCGTGATCCTAGATCCTGAGCAGCTGTGAGAGGTTTCATTGTTATTTTATCCGAGTCAAACAATTATTAAAGCGACAGCTTTATGATAAGACGTTATCAGTGTCTGTTCAGCTGTAAATAAAAACACAGAGCTGGACTTTTTTTTTTTTTTTTTACAATGTGTGCTGTACCTTTGCAGTGCAGGTGGTGCGTGGGCAGCTGCTGCCTTTGTGACAAGTAGCTGAACACGGGTGGCCGCAGTCTGGACGAGGCAGCGTGCAGGGCTGCTGGCAGCCTCCATCAGGCAGACACTCCGCCCGGTGGCAGAGCCGTTTGCAGCGGTGCATTTCACAAGGCAGCAGCTTATTACATGTCAGACCACAGGAAATGTCTTGCAGATGACATGGGATGTTGCTGCGTTGCTGCGAATTAAAAGAAACTAGCGTAACTTAATTTTTTCTTGAATAAATAAAACAAGTCATGCAGTTATGACTGTAGGGCATTACCTCATGCTTACCCATGCACCACTTCTGAACGAGGTAGGTGCATGGTGGACATTTGTCCTCGCTGTGGCAGTTGTGAAACACTAAATCAGAAGAAAATAACATTTAAAGTTACCGTGAAAAGCTGCAGAGTTCGTGGTTATTGTTGTACGTTACCTGGATGGTCACACTCGTGTCTTCTTGTACACATGTTTTTGCACTCGGGTGGTTTCGTGCCACAAGGGATAGGTGGGTACAACACTGTGAGCCCACAGTGACATGTCAGCTCATCAAAACCTGCCAACAGGGGGAGCCGTGACACACTCAGTGACAACACCACAAAGGCAAGAAACAAAAGATTATATAAAAACTTCAAATTAGACGGTTTTCCAGGACTGTGTGGCTTTATGCTGCTTTTGAGTCTGAGCTTATAAATAAACGAGTGCAGGACTTACTGGACTGCCAGCAGGGTTCACAGTTTCCACGGTGACAAGGCTCCTGGCAGCGGTGGAGGCCACAGTTCAGCTTGTAGCCACAGATCAGGGAGCACTTGTGCTCCACGTTCTGGAGAAAAAAAATAATAAAAAAATAAAAACTCAAATTGTGCCTAAAAATAAACATTTTATAATGTGTGCTACAAACTGAACAGATGAAATTTTAGAGGGAAAAACATGATGCTTTATGTTGTTGACTTTTAAAAAAATAATAATTTACTTATTTTTAAAAATAATTTACTTATGTAGATTGTGAAGAGGGTGGGTCCTAAGACTGAACCCTGTGGTACACCATTGTTAACAGTTAGATAACTGGAAGAAGTATAATTTATTAAACTATACCAGCTAAACATTCAGCATATTGATGATACAACTGATACTACACTCAGCGGTTTAGTATGAGCTTATATAATAAACTGATGGCACAACTTTGAGTCAGATTTTGTTTGTACTCACAATACAACAAAGTTCTCCACACTTGTGTCGACCACAGGAGCGCTTCTTGTTGCAACGTTTCTCACATGTGAACACGAGCTCTTCTGAATCAAGAGAACAGATGAAAAATAAGACAACTCGGGTATGAGGTTTAATTGCATCATTTCATATTTAGTTATTAAAATTTTACCTTCTTTTTGGATTTTAGCACATGGTACTTCCTAAAAAAGAACAAAACAAATTGATTTTTTAAAATATATTTGATGTAAAACTAAAAAAAAAAAAAAAAATTAAACACCCTGCTGATAATGCTGCCCACCTTAGTCTTGGAGCCACAACGACACCTGATAGTGGAGGTCAAAGAACACGGTCCGCAGCTGCCCTCGTGGCATAACTTCTGGCACAAATGGATGGTGTCTAAAATAACAGAGGCTCATTATCTCATTACAAACTCTTAAAAAACAACACAAGTGGGCTGAAGATAATGCACATCCTGTTTACAGTAAAAACACAAACACAATAGACCACCAGGAAGACATGAGAACAGTTATCTGAAAATAGATCCCAGTCAAAAAACGTGAATGAAATATAGGATGTTAAAAGTTAATTTAGGGATCTCTGATGACTAACGGAGGAAAACGTCAGATTCATCACAGTGTAGTCAGTTGTATAAAAATAAGTTGCACTTTACATCTGCAAAAACCAAAAACCTAAGGCATTCACGGTGCATCAAAAGGTGAGATTCCAAACAATTTAACCTTTAAATTCTCACAAGCCGTTTAATATTTCACTTCACACGGTATATTTTACAAAAAGAAATCGTTGGAAAACTTCAAGGACTACTACGTATTTCGACAGCTTTAACTGCCAAGATTTGTTTGCATTCCTAATCTTTGGAATAGCTTTGTGAAATTTGAGCCTCAGTTTTTTTGGGGGTATTAAACGTTTCAGGTTGAAATTCACAAACATTCTTTAAAGACCACAAAATGCGGTGACAACGTTTCTCCTCACCATTGGAACCACAAGGTAGGGGCTTGTTACACGTCTTCCCACAAGAGGGAATCGGATCGGTGCAGCTACGTCGTTCAGAGTAGCCCAGCTCCAGGAGTTTGGTCAGCGGGGTCTGACTGCAAGGACACGTCTTCACCAGGCTCGGTGAGCGGGGGCACGGCTGACACGGCCCCGAGTGGCACGCCTGCTGGCATCGGTGAGCTTCACAACTCAGCATCCTGAACAGAAAACGGTGATGAAAGGAACAGACTTATTTAAGTAAAAGCCTGTGTATTCTGGCAACAGAAATGTTTTTAGTGATGTAGAGTCACTTACTTTGAGCAACTTTTTTGACAAGAGAAATGTCCTGAACCATCAAATGCCTTTTTATCTGTGCCACACGGGACTGTACGAGTCGTGACTCCACAGTAACAAACTACATCCACACAGAAAATAATCATTTTAAAACATCAGGCCATAAATTTCAGTTATTTACTCAATATTTTTACAGCCCGGTGAAGCTCACCCTGCTGAACTTGCAGCTGGCAGGGCTGACACGTCCCGCTGTGGCACACCTGCGTGCAGGTGTGATCACCACAGTTGAGTAAAGCTCTGCACTCGTCGTTACACCGGAGCGCTGAAGCCTGGCCGCAGCGCATCGGTTGGCTAACAATGAAACAATAAACGTATCAAACCCAAAACAACAAGCACGCTGTGGCAAGATCAAACACGGGAAGGTGCAACAATAAAAAGGCTGAGTCGCATCGAAATGACCTCGTCTTTCCACAGACGCAGGATCTGGTTACAAAGGCAGGACACTGAGGGCAAGGTCCAGGGTGACACAAGCTGAGGAGACACAGAAGAGTCGACATGAAAACAAAAGCCAATGCCCTGGTTCTTTATATGTGGACATGTTCAACAATACATGTTACATTTATGGAAGTATCTAGCCTACATTTACAATAAAGTTGCAATTTACTGGTATTTTTGTTTTATTTCCAAAATAAATTTTCATCGTGAAGACTCATTTACTGTCAGGAAACTAACCAAACTTAATAAGAACTTGGCTAGGATGGTTTTTAGACAAGTAAAATCAAAATGACAAATGAGAGTTGATGTATTTTGATTCAAGGAAAAAAAAATAACTTAATTGGTTTACAGATATAAATGAGACACATTAAAGTATCTAAGAAGCAAGGATGCGCAATATTATCAGCATGGTATCGGTCGATATTAGCGATAAAGTTAAATATCGGACATCGGCCATTCCATCAAAACAAATCATCAATATGAAAGGCTTGTTTTAAGTTAATTTTTAATTTAAGAAAATGTCAAGGATATATATATTAATGCACTACTACTAATGCACTTTTCACTTGTAGCTTGTGAACAGGCTGAGTTTAGATTTGTGAACATTTACAAATTTGCACTGTTCCGAGTGTTGTCATTGTGTTAAGTGTTAGAGAGTAAATGTCATGAATAAATTTGACATTAAAAATAATCCAAGTTGAAGTGTTAAACCATTTTCATCCCCCTTTATGGCATCTGCATTTGGTAGCAGGCCAAATAATGACAATGCAGAATAATGTCAGACCATCACAGGGCAGGTAGTTTTAATAATAATTTAAAAAACAACAACAGTGAAAATAACTACATTGGTAAAATGGTGGTGTTTTCAGCATCTTATCTGAAAATCTTTCATCAATAGTTGGTGGACTTTGTCTTTTAGCAGCGTTACATTTATTCCTGAGGTATAAATGTTTCACAGCTCACATGTTACAGGGGTGGTTGCAATCCACTCCACTCCTCTTCTTCCCACACATGTCCCCACAGCTGTGGGGGATCTCACTGCGCTGCCACTCAGGATTCGTCACTTTACCTGCCAATCGAAAACAGCATAAAAAAAACAAACGTCTGTTTTATACAAAACAGTTTAGATCTGTGACCTGAAAACACACTGCTGCTTTTAGAAGACGTGCTGAAGGAAAAGAGCCATGTCTTTATGGACCAATCGAACCAACGCTCACCACAGAAGCAGGTGTAGGTGGTCGGCTGTTTCAGGGAAACATTCTGGCAGGCTGGACAACGCCAACCTTCAGCTGAATCTGGAAAAAACAAAACCACAGATTCAACTTTTGTCCAGTTTTTACAAATAAAATTGATCTAATGATTAAAGCAAATCCACTTGGTTAGCAGTGAATCAGGAGAACTCAGGAACAGGAACCGCCTCTGAACAAAACATATTATTCTCTAGTATTTTTTATTATTTTTCCCCAAACACAATACCAAGCAGCTCACAAGGGATGAAATGTCAACATGGGGCTAAACGGACGTACCATCCGCCTGTGAAGCCGCCGGGGATCGAGCCCATTTCTTGATGCAGTTCAAGTGGAAGACGTGGAAGCAGCTCAGGCAGCTCCACACTGGGGCCATGACCCGAACCACGTCGCAGCACACCATGCACTCGTATTTCTCCTCGGACAGCTGTTCGATCAAACATCCTGTGGAGTCAAAGAGGGCAGAGGTTCAGAACACAGCTGACAAACAAACGTCTTTAAACAGAACAACTCGTTCTGGTTGAGAGATAATCATGTAGAGCCACAACAATAAAACTTTGTAACAAAAAAGGTTTTGATAAATAAATCATCGTTTCTGTAATTATTTTCCCATCATAATACAACCCCATTTGGTTCAAGCCTTTTAAATGTAAAAATATATATTTAACCTTTTGTGATAATGAATCAGACAAAACAAGTGAGCTAAAGACCAAAATGGATAGTTTCCATGCAAGTTTGTCTGATTATTTTTTGACAAAATATTAATAAAAAAAAAAACTATAATCTGCATTTTATACATTGCAATAAATTATATGTACCCGGTAATAGTGAGATGTGAATTAAAACATTTCAATAAATAGCACCACCCCAGTACCATTCTGATGTAACTTCATATATACCTCTAGGTTTACTTGAAGTACTGATCTAATATGGGTTCTGACCCACTGTAAAACATAAAATGTGACATGAGAGCAGCGAGTGGGTTTATGACATCTATTCTTTGTCTTCCGCACATTAGTATGCAGAAATGACACTAACCTGTCTGTGTCTCTTTGCTCTTGGGCATCTTCTCTGAGCTCCACAGACCCGGCTTGTTCAAATGGCTTGTTCTCCTCCCTCTGCTCTGAAAAGGTTTGTGTGCTCCTGAGCCTCTTTCAGGCTGGCAGCCAGGTTCCTGAGATGATCGGATCCAGTCAGAACCACCCTGGTAAGCAGTGCCGCTATCTGACCTCACCTCGTCTTGAGAAGGTTTAGGTGGTTTGATTGGTCCTTGCCGTCGCTTCACATCGTTGTGTTTTTTCTGGTGATCATAGTGTTGAGGTTTGACACCGGATTTACTCTGTGGAATTCTCTCATTGTTCTCTGAAGCCGAGTTTTTTTCTTCTCTGATAGTATGTGACCTTTGACCTGGTGCAGTTGTCTGATTCTCCTTTGTTTGACCACTTTTTTCACTCTGTTCTCCCCTCCTCTGCTCCCGGCCTGAATTTCTGGTTTTTTTAACCTGAGCACCCTGCTCCTGGTTGGTTTGCTCCGCATCTCTGCCAACGCTTTCTCTCCTCCAGCTGGATCCATCAGGTCTAGCCATGGGATTTGCCTGGAAACCACGTCCATACCTGTTACTTGCATCATACTGACCAAAGTCACCATCAGATTTTTGCCTTGAGGGGCCAGGACCACCAAAATTTCCATTTAAATTTCTATTTCCTTCTCTTCTTCCTCTACCGCGGCCTCTCCTTGTGGATGCATCCTCTCTTTGATAGGAAGGAGGGTTATAATCTGGATTATTTAAATTACTATAGCCAAATGGGTGTTTGAAGCCTTGATGGGGGTTTCCATATGGTTGAGAGGGATCATAGCTATAACTACTCAGGTTTCGGTCATTGTTGTGTCTGTGTCCTCCTCTTTTAGATTTATGCTGATGTGCTGTCACATCCGGATTGAATTCAGGCGGGTCTGCAAAAAGAAATAGTGACAGTATTAATAAAAATGAAGGGCTAAAATTAAAACGGACTAAAACCAAAAACAGTAACAACAAATATTCAACACTTATGTATAAATGTTTTAGGATCCCACTTAATAAAGGCTATTTAATAAATCGTCTTGATACAACACTGGTTCACCGCTTGAGTTTAGGGACATTGTACAGTATGACTGAATGATTCACAGATAGTGGATTAAAAAGCTTAAACAACAAACAAAATCAATCCTCTGAAAATGGTCTGGCAATGATAGAAAATGAGCAGAAAAAAAATATAAAGTCATACTTTAGTTGTTTAAATACAAAGAAATCCAATTTGATGATTAACTTACAAATCCAACAATTTTCAGTCAGGTCATCTGGACAGTTTCTTTTTTTTTGTGCTGAAATGTTTCACCTTCCATCCAGAAGGCTTCATCAGTCAATGAAACACACAACACAAAACTGATTCTTCTCCTAACAGCTTACTCCAAAGTGGAACAAACCAGTTATGTTGGTGCTTACATATCATTAAACATAAAGTGCAGTTCATTTCAATTCAATCCAATTATAATCCAATTGAATTGCACAGTCACTTGTGGTTAAAACAAGTAAAGCTGTCATGAAGGCACCGACCTAAAAAAATAGTATTAATGATAATAACATGTGGCTTTAATGTGAAATGTTGTGAAGTAGTTTAATCAGCACTAGCATTAGCTGCTGGAGCTAACTAGTCACATGCTACTTTTCATATCCAGTTTCAGGTCAGGTGGATGATGGTGTCAAAGTTCTCCGTCACATGTGATATCAGATAAAAGTCTGATTTAAGAGTCCTTAAACAAACATCCAAGAAACAGTTTATTTAAGTTCCTGCTAACGAAGTGAGCTAAGGAAATTAGCATGAGGTAAACGTGCTAACATAGCTATTTAAGTGCTAATTTAATGTTGATATTAAAAACCAGCTTACGATACCTTCGCTAATTGGCACTATAAACATGTTTACCCAGCTTTCTTTTTTCTTTTTACCTGAGAAGCCTTCAGCCATTCACTTAAACTCCGCTGCTTCTTGATTCGTCCAAGTTTACCGAGAGCCGTTTGTTTTTGAAGAGCTGACAAGTTCAAGCAGACACTCGGGGACAGTGTCCTCCACTTCTCCTGTCGTCTAGTTGGTAAAACTGAAAGGATAATTATTTAAAACAATAAGAATTTCCTCCTGCTTTGACTCAACTCACGATCAATAACAGCTAGGTAAGGCTAGCACAGTTAGCTAGCACTGTACATATCGCCTGAGTCACAACCGGAACTTCCGCTCAGTTTTCAAATTAAAAGGCCTGCGACCCGAAAAGGAAGAAACGGGTAAAAGATAAATGGATGGATGATTTGAACACCTCTTTTAATGGATGGAAAGATGAAAACAAACAAACAATTATAAAAAGAAAATGGATTATTGTATCTTTTGTCCAACAACTATGTTGTTAATAATGATCAGTTAGTTTTGGGTAAACATAGTTATCGAAATATGCCCACAATTTAGCCAGCTTTTCAATATTTATGTTATTTTTATCCATTTAAAGATGAATTTTTCCTTGGAATTACATCTTTCAGACTTTCAGTTTGCATTATTCAGTGTTTGCAAGTGGTTTGATGCATTTTACTTTACTCAACATCCTGTAGTGAAACGTGGTTCAAAATTAATCCTAAATTTCTTTTAGAATCATACATATCCAAATAATGTTAATGTTATTTGATTAGTGTAATTGTCCAACTATTAGTTGTTTTTATATTATGTTTTGTTCTAAAACTGCCTGAATTAATTTAAAGAAAAGAAAGAAAGAAACTAAAGCATGCCCACAGGATGGCGCTTTATGTTTGAATTGTACAACACAGTGGCTTTAAGGCAAGTCAATATACCATATAATTATTCGATTAGATTTCACAGCATATAAAGCTTCGTTGTACTTCTAGTCTAAATGAACGATTCAGGTGTTCATAATGACATTCTAATTTTCATAATCCATATTTCATATATCTCAAATTACAAAGGGTTTCATTTGTACAATTTATTTGTTATGGTGTTTCAGATCTAGATATCTATAAAATATATTTTATAATTAAGATGTCTGAGGGGAATCTTGCAATTTACACATCTATACTCCTATTATTTTTTTTACTACACTTGTTGTTTTAGATATCTAAAATGATTAATTGTTTCAGGTTGTTCAATTTTTTTAAATCTGTGTATGTATGATCAGACCTGGTGATAAACTGGCAAATTTCAACAAACTGAATACCATTTTGAAACATTTGAGTTGGAGAAGTTGACAATAACTTAATATTTAAAAAAAAAAAACACTCATTCGTTTTGTTTGCCCAGGTCACAAATGCAGGAAAAAATAATCAGTTAAAGATATCTGAACTAGTTCAGTGAGGGCCCAGAAACCAAGACATCTGTAATTTTGGATAATAACCACATTTTCCTGTGTGACACATTGTGGTATGCATCATGTAGTTTTGAAAAGGAAATGAAAGTGAATAAAAACTTTGAGATTATTCTTTGAAAACAGCTGGTTAAATATGAGTAAATAGTTATATACTAGACTGATATAACTGAATAATTTGCTCTTTTGTATCCAAAAGAGGAAAATAGATGATTCCCAACAAGATATTTGACTAAACTGTTGTAAAGCAGGCCTTGAAAAAGTAAATTAAGTAAATTTGGCAAGTTTTATATGTGCATTAATAACATGTTTTTTTATATGCAGCTGAAGACAAAATTGTCTAAATTTTTTTATTTTATTTTCCCTACACCCTGTCAGTGCTACATTCAATGAACTGGTGAAGATTTTCAGTCATCCAGGACATGATGAATTCAAAAAGTGTTCAATACAAAAACAAGTGGACTTTATTTGTAACAGAAGACGTTTTGCTCCTCATACGAGGAGCTTTCTCAGTTCAATGAGCAGTGAGTGAGAGATTCAGGTTATAAGGCTGAGTGAGAAAAGACACACACACATATGTAGATTTATGTAAAAATTTATGTAAAAAGGGAAAAGCCGTCTCTTAACAGAGGAGGGGGCCTCAGATTTCCACTTTCAAAAACCTATAATGCAACTTTAAGACAGATTCCCAGCCGGTTTTCCCACTTGATGGGAGCAGATGGGTCTCATCTGTGAATTAAAGTAACAAAGACCTTAAAAAAAACCCTACTGTTAAGGTGTTGAGGTGTGTCTTGTCAAATCTACATATATGTGTGTGTCTTATCTCACTCAGCCTTATAACCTGAATCTCTCACTCACTGCTCATTGAATTAAAAAAGCTCCTCGGATGAGGAGCGAAACGTCTTCTGTTACAAATAAAGTCCACTTGTTTTTGTATTGAACGCTTTTTGAATACATTCAATGAATCACTCTGCAGAGAAGAATCCAGAGTGCGCATGCGCACCGCTGCTGCTCTTCTCCGTCAAGGCGAAGTGGGAGGGAGAGCGCTGTGTGAAGTTCACGTTAAGAACACAACACACCGGAAGCTAAAATATAATTTTTTCAAAATAAAACAACACGTCTCATGAAAACAGTATGTCATTTCCAGAAACGGTTACAATTTCCCCACATGCTTCTCTTTTCTTTTGCGTTAAGCTGCAGATTCACTCTAATTAGCTACTAAAACACCTCCGTGATTCTTTGCTCATCCAATTCCGCCAATTTGTTAACCTTGTCCATGTATAGGCTGGCTTTTCAAAATCGCATTCAATATATCTGAAAATTTGGTAACGTAAACTCTTTCAAAATGCACCATTTTATTGAGTTCAGTATGGCATTTTTATGTCCGATTCCAATACTTTTCAATGATCACTCGCTGTTCAGTTTATGTTGAAACTATTAACCGGAAGTAGCCGTTTTCGTTAACGGTAGCTTGAGTGAAGCCCCTGAACAGCTCTGAACGCGGCGGAGCAGAAGAAGAGAGAGTGGCAGTGAATGTGTCTGCAGCACGGTTTGGCTGTTTAAAAAAAAAAAACGAAGAAAAAAAAAAAAAAAACTAGGGCTGAAGAAGAGAGGACAGGACCGCGGTGCAGTTCCAGACGACCTCGGCACACCCCGGACTATGCTAACACCCACACTCGGGCTAACGGTGCGCTGCTTTCACGACACGCGCGGCTTATTATTGCACATCTGTAGATCATAATGAAGGTATTTCTTCACGGCGGCTCCTTCTCCGAGGTTTAGTCGAGACTCGGGGGGGGGGGGGGGTGACACTACATATGAACGTGTCGCTTTTAGACCTCTCTGTCAAAGAAAACACTGAAGGGGACGCAGCCGTGTAACGTTCAAATCCTACCCGGAGAGCAGCGGTCATCCAAGCCACGTCTTTATCACCCGGACAGTTTCAACGCTTCTGCTAAGTGGAGGGGAAAAGCAGCGTTGTCCTTCATTCGTCTCGTCTTCTTACATGCTTTTGTCTTTCTGAAGCTTCATCGCCGAGCCTTTCTGTGGGCATTTTGCATTCTCTCCCCCCCCCCCCTCCCTGTTAAAGGATGCCGGATCAAATATCGGTGTCCGAGTTTCTCTCGGAGACAACAGAGGATTACAATTCCCCGACCACGTCCAGCTTCACCACCCGCATGCAGAGCTGCAGGAACACCGTGAACGTGCTGGAGGAGGTAACAGCAACCCTTCACCTTGCATCGTGTTGTTTGCTTAAAACACTAAACATCTAAAAACACAGCACACTGCCTTACATCGACCTGGTGGTATTTATAACTCAACCCAGGGCTCAGATTTTTGGCTTCATGTTGCACAAATGTCAAAAATAATTGCACCTGTTGCTGTAAAAGTGCTTTTTTTTTTTTTTAACTTTGCACGCCCCTTTAAATCTGAAACTTGATGAAAAATCTATACATTTCACCTAGAATCAGGCTGATGATGCAGAGCCAGTGTATATATACTGTATGTGAGGGCATTCTGCAGCTCTTTCTGACCAGATAAATGAAGTAATGATAAGAAAAGAGGAGGAGGAGGCTGGCTTTGTTGGAAGATTGAAGGATGTGCACTCAGGCCTGCAGCTCTCTGCTCAGTATTACATAACTGGGCTATGGTGGAGTAGCTGTGTTTGTGTGACCAAGAAAAAAAAACTATTTTAGTCACTGGCTGCTGTAAGATAAGGATGTTTCAGATCATTTCTCACTTCTGCACAAGCCTGGGTACATTTTTAAACAGACTCTGATATCTTAATTGCCCACCAAAAGGCGATATATATATATTTTTTTGTCTGTTAGCAAAATATCTTTAGAACCAATGGATAGATTTTAATGAAACTTTGCAGAAAGTAATAATTAGGAGATAAGCAGCAAACCGATTGACTTTTGGAGTCTATCTAACTCAAGATGGCTTCCACAGCTAACTGGAAACATAAAACATGGCTATAATTCAGTCTGGTTAATAGATGCTGATCTCACATTTGATGTGGTAGTAGCTGAGAGTCATTCGCAACACATACTGTAGGGCATGAGCTTGTGCGTAAAGTTACTTTTGAGGTTTGACCAAAGCAGCTGCAGCACATTTGTTTCTCGAGATGACATTAGTTTATCGCTCTGGCGTAAAATGATGTCGTCAATCAATGCAAAGCCCGTTATTTACAGATGGATATAAAATCAGGCAGGGTGACGTGTAATCAGGTCAGACAGGTGGATTTATGTTTTGCGTGTTTCCCATGATGGCATCCCTCCTGCCCTGATTAAACGGAGCATCAAACCAGGAGAGAGCACACACTTTCCCCATAGTGAGCTAATGCTAAAATGTGACCTCATTTCACACGTTGAAGCAGACAGGAATTACATCAGGCTTGCGGTGTTTAGTTTAATCTGTCATGTAAAGGCGAACGCATTAAATGTGACACCCATCGTTCCATTCATGCCGCTTTAAAACTAAGATTTGTTACTAAATAACTGCGTTAAACGTCATATAAACAGTAAAATAGGTGGGTTGCTAGGGGAGGAAGCGGAGGCCGAGCTCTCCATTCAAAATGCAAACTTCTTATTTTAAGTTTATTGTTTCATACAATTCTGTAAAAGTCAGCCCAAACAGAGCCAGGGCTGTGTTTCATCTCAACATGGAGCCCAGTTTGTGTCTGCCGACTTTAACAAGGAGGAGGCTCGCATCATGAATCACCTCTCTGGCTCCGTGCCTCTGATCCTCTGCAGCACAAACGAAAAACATCTGTCGGACAGGGCCGCCATGCGCGTTGGGCTTCACTAGCCGCTCTGGAATTTTTTTTTTGTTCCTTGGCAGGGATCACATGACAAGGAAGACCATTTCACTGGCACTAAAATGGAGCAAGCTAACATCACCCTCGGCGTTTAGACCGGGATACACCCGAGGCTTTAGACAGGAAAGCTAAAGCCGTTAGCTCAGCATCTCTTTTATGAAAACCGTAGTTGCAGCTCGGACATGTATGAGCTCACTTGCATCATGCTCAGAACAGAGCTGCTGCAGAGATGAGGAGTGTCTTTGGAGCTTGAAGCATCTTTGGGTTTCTTCTTGCTGAGCACGTAGTCGTCCCCAAACTCTTAAGCATCCACATCTATTTTGTCCAAGCCATTTCTTTGGTATGCTGACAAGGTAAATTATGCAAAGGTACAGCGTGAATATTTAATACTGTAACCCGAGGGGGAGATTTGACCCAGCAGGAGCGTTGTCACTCCCTGTGTGCTTCCACTGAGTCACCAGGAAGAAAAAAAAAGTTGTTGCAGCATCATTTCATCTTAATTCTGCTCAAGATGTTATTTAATGAGAGGTGCAGATTAATGGCATGGACATATTCACAATTAACCATCCCCTACTTCAGCCGTGTACACGTCAAGAAGTGTGGAAAACAAAGCCATATTGAGAGAGAAAAGTTTTAAAAATAACCGTCCTGACTTGCTTGCTTGAGACAAAAGGCATGGTGGTATTGGTGTGTGTGTGGGGGGGTGTTATTGCATGTGTGTGTTTGCTGTGTGGGTGGCAAACCGGAAGCTGGCTTATGTGTCTGGCTTTTATTTTTGCTGTCATCTTTTGGTGCAAAGCAAATCATTGTTGTGTTGCTGTTGGCGCTGCGTTTTTTTTTTTTTCCCAGAGAGCACTTGGCAATCAAACCGTTTGAAGCTCAGATTTTCTGGCAGTAGATGACGAGGTGCTCGTTTCAATTCTTTAAATCTGAACACAAACATTACAGATTTTATAAGACACAGTCTTGTCATCTCTAGTTTCTTTATGTCTTGCTTCAAGATGCCAGATATTCTTGTAATCCTTTAAATTTGTCTTGGTCGATAGATTTTCAAACTCGGTGAAAGTTGTTCAGAAGCTTTTCTTTGGACCTTTGCTGCTTTTTCGTTCGTTTTATTCAATTACACAATCATTTTCATGGAAAAAGTGTTTGTCATTTGTATTCAGGCTTGAGAAACGGTTTTCGGAAACTTGTGCCATCAGAAACTGGATTTGAACTGCTCAGACTGAATCGGTATTCGCTTAACTTGAAATTAAATCCATTGGTTTGAAAGTGAATTTCACTGAATTAATTTGCTGAAACTGTGTTAAGTCAGGTCCTCTGGACGGTTTCTTTTTGTAGTAACGTTTCGTCTTTCATCCAGATGGCTTCATCAGTCCGAGGAGCTGCAACAAACTCAGTCTTATAAATAGGGAAGCACAATATTATTTGCATGGTATTGGCGTATTAGCATTAAAGTTCAATATCGGACACCGGCCATTCCATCAAAATAACTCGCCAATATAAAAGTCGCTGTTTTTGTCTGACAACCCAGTGACAAGGATGCCTGCAGCGGCAGCACAACGTGATGACGTCATACGCACCTACCTGATTTGATCACGGCGGAGAGGAAAAATCAAAATGTCGGCGGTGTGGAAGTTTTTTTTTCATTGAGGATGTCAGATTCTGAAGCTTTTTGGACTAAGTTGAGCCTCGCTACGTCGTCCCCAGTCGGAGATATTTTTCCGACGTAGCCTTACCTGAGTTGCAAGCCGTCATTTCCGACGCCATTGAGAAGTTAATAACTGATTGCACCTGGGTGAGTTTTACCACAGACATTTGGACGTCACGTGTTAGCCCTGTGTGCATGATTAGTTTTATGGCACAAGTATATATAAGTATATATAAAAATATCAGTATCTGTATTGGTTATCGGCCAAATAAGTTTTAACATATCGGCATATCAAATGTCGGCCAAAAATCTAATATCACGCACCCCTACTTATAAATAGCACCTTCATATAGTGGGTCAACCAGTTTGATGGTGCTAAGATGGTTTCTCGAGTCCGTCCTCTCCCTCGCCAAAGTGGTTCAAAACATCAAAGTTCAAAAAAAGTTTGAACTTTTACTTTGACTCATGATTTCGTGCCAAGTTCACGTGTGCACCACTGCTTCAGCTCAAAATACGCTGTAAAGAAAGTTCTTTTTCTTATTTGGTGTTTTACAGTGTATTGCATCCACGCTGTTGCATTATTGAGTTCAAGTTCAAGTCAACTTTATTCTCGTTCATTCATTCTGGATTACTTCATACCTCTCTGCTCACCCAAGACTCATGTTCGGGCTGCTGTTGTTACGCTGGATTGTTTTACATGATGAGTGTTAAACGTATTAGATCTTTTAGCGTACCATTGGCATTTGTTTTGCGTATATCTTAGATCCTTATTTTACAGTTGCTTTTTATAATTTATAATTTGCTATTTTTGAGTGTAACTGTGTACATAATTTAACGCCTACATTTCCGTAAAGGAGGTTTCACCGACGTGAAACGTAAATCTGTCAAACTGTGTTCGATTACTCTGTGGCTTTCTCAAGGACGCGGATGTGTGACACAAAAAACTGAATTTTGGAATTGAAATTGAATTCTAGAACTTAAAATGGAAGTAGTCGAAACTGAATTTTCAATACAGCGTAATACAGATTTGAAGCAAATTAATTCAGTTTCAGTTCAGTGACATTTATTTTGAAACCAGTTGGATTTAATTTCAAATTACGTGAATACAGATTCAGTCTGAGAGATTCAAATAAAGTTTCTGATGGCACAAGTTTCTGCCCTTATTCCAAACTCGAGATGAACAAGTGTTGTGTCGACACATAAACAACTTGGCAAAGAACCCATTATAAATTGAGTCTTTAGGCACTTTGTTGCCAGCGGCAACACAGTTTGGGTCCATTTCTTTCACTGAGTATATGAAAAATACCAAAGATTGTATTGAAACAAAAGATAGTACTTTAACACCAACAAGGTGATTCCCAAAGAACTGAACCAGAAGTTGGGGATGCACCAGTACTATGTTTTCTTCCTTATTGTCTTACAGCAGCAACATTTAAATATTTCATGGTTAATAAATGTAGAAAGATTAATTGTCTTAACTTTATTTGTTTGATTAAAATATATATATTTTAAACAGGTTTCAAACACCTCACCAGTCATTAAAGATTTCAAACGGGTACAAGTACTTGCACTGAGTACCTGCTGATACAGAGTGCCAGTGTGTGTACTAATAAACACCATTGTACTTTGTAAAAAAAATACTTTGAAACTGTGTTTGCAAATTATAAGAGTTTACTTTTCACTGAATAACATTCCTCCTCCACCACCTGACCGCTCAACCAAGAGGTGAACGTCATTCTGACCTA